CACACACACACACACACACACACACACACACACACACACACACACACACTGACCTTTAGTACAGACATGAAATAATAAACACTGAGAGGACCGGCTCAGTCTAATACCTGGAGACTGTGGTGTGTGATGCGTTCAGGTACCTGAACTTTACTGGAGTATTCCTTTTGCACGATGCTGGCAAAAAGTTACAGAACTCAACAGGATCCACAGAGGTCACATGATGCAAGAGACACCAACCAATCAGAGCTTTGGTCATTAGAGTATCAAAGTAAAAGTACTTCTGGTAGTTAGAGTTAAAGTACGTCACATAGTCTCAGATAGTTGAGTCCACTGATTCCCAACCTGGGGGTCGGGGCCCTCTAAAGGGTCACTGGATGAATCTGGGGGGTCGTCACACTGATGACAAACACTGATCTGGATTCAGTTTCTGGACCTTTTGTGAAATATTGATCATTTCAATTGAGTTTAGGCGGGAAACTGATAAGCAGTTGCACTTCATTGTATTTTATAATTGTATTGTTGTTTTTACTGTTTTAATAAACATGAGAAAACATGAATTTGTTGTTTTGAACTTTCTTTAAGCAGAAACAAGAGAAACAGATGAGTCATGATTATTTTCTTCATTAGGTGATCAGCTGTTTATTTTCTTGATTGATGAATCGATTGATTGTTTATGAAACATCAGAAGTGATGTCATCACACGTGATGTCATCACACGTCATTCATGAAAGAACAAAACGTTCATATTTAAGAAGCTGAAAAATAAATTTAATGATTCATTGATTATCTGTCAATCGACTAATTGATAACTGATGAACTGATGAATTGATTAATGTCTGTAGTTGTAGTTTGAGTGAATAAAAGTTGCTGAGACGAGCTGTAGTTGAAAGCTCAGAGAAAAGTGAGTAAGTGAAACGTGAGTTCAGGATGTTTTTATCTGACTCACCCAGTCCGGGTGGGGTGGGGGCCTCTCTCTCCCTGAGGGGGGGTCTCAGTCGTTCTGGAGTGCAGCGTCTCAAGGTGAGGGGGAAACGCCACGGTCCCAAACCTCCCTAGCCCCAGTCCTCCTCCTCCTCCTCCTCCCCTTCCTCCTCCTGCTGCTCCTCTTCCTCCCAGCTCCTCCTCCTCCTCCACCTCGGGGTCTCGTGCTCTCACCTCACAGTGAGCGCTCACCAGTAAACCCAGTACCAGCACCAGTTCTCCCACTGCTGCCATGTCTGCTCCCTGACACTACACTGAGTGGAGGCTCGCACGACCCCCAGCTGCTTTTAAACAGCTGGGGGAGGGAGGAGGGAGGAGGGGAGAGAGAGAGAGAGAGAGAGAGAGAGAGAGAGAGAGAGAGGAGGGGGGAGGACACACCCCCATTTCCTCTGCTGGAGTGGTTACGTCTCTCCCTCTCTCTCAGAGTTACAACTACACTTCTTCTTCTTCTTCTTCTTCTTCTTCTTCTGCTCCGGCTCACTGCTCTGACTCTGAACTTTACTGAAACACATGAAGAAAAAAAAGAGCAAATGATGAAATGACTTTATCCATTTTACGTGTTTTAGAAAACAAAGTGAGACGACACGACCACAGACAGACGCTCAGAACATCAGCAGCTTCACCTGCTGTTGACCTGATGATCTGTGAGCCACACCTGTCCTCACCTTCAGGAAGTGTGCAGAAAGATGGAGAGAACAGGACAAGGAGAGGAGGAGGGGAGGAGGAGAAGGAGTTTCTGCTCTGGACTGAGTTCAAACTCTCTGTCCGTCTTCACCCACTTCCTGTAGAAGTGATAAGAAGACAGGAAATGACCAGCAGGAGAAATTACTCCCTTCCTCTGTGTGTGTGTGTGTGTGTGTGTGTGTGTTGGGTCACTCTTATTGTCCAGTGCCTTTAACTTCAAAAGTCACCAGCCCAGGTTCATCACTTTTTGGTGTCCCCTGGAAACACTTCCTGTTGTGTTGTTGAACTGATGAAGATGTCTTCTTCAAATGCAGTGCGTTGAGCTCTCAGGGCCACCGTACACCGGATCTCAGGGTGTAGAAACTGAACAGCTCACTTCAGCTAAAACTAATCAACAGTCAAAGATCCAGGATTATCTTCAAGCTGCTGTCCTGTTGACCAGCTACGGTCTCTATCAACGGGACACAGTCACACCCACGACAATGACAGACACAACAGATTCAACAGCTGGAAGCTAAGCTAGCTTCAGAGACAACGCCCTGTCGCCGCCACTAGAGGGCGGGACATGACATGATGGATGAAACACGAAGCTGCTCTGAGATCAGATGTGAGGAGAGAGATAACACTCTGATGTTGTGAGAAGACGTCTCACTCTGACACTTATTCTGCCACGTTTGTCCACTGAAGGAGGTTAAAGTGAAGTGAAGTGTGTGTGTGTGTGTGTGTGTGTGTGTGTGTGGGGGGGGGGGGGGGGGGGCTGTTTCCTTGTCCACGGCTGACAAAAGTGGGGCTTTCCACTGGAGGCGGGGGGGTTGGTTGTTGGATGTCTGAGTGGGTGGAAAACATCTTCCGAGGTAATTGTTTCAGGCTGTGTGTGTGTGTGTGTGTGTGTGTATGTGTCGTGTGTGTGTGGGTGTTTGGGGTGGCGGGGTGAAAATGTGACAGGGAAGAGAAAGGAGAAGGTGCAAATACAACAGAGGTTTATTATTTATATTTATTTTTTTATCATTATGTGATTTATTTATCCTTAAAGTTGTGTGTATGTGTGAGTGTGTGTTGTGGTGAGTGTGTGTATGTGTGTATGCTGTGTGTGTGTGTGTGTGTGTGTGTGTGAACTGAGACTGAACAAGTAACAAAACATTTGCTGCATCCGTGAATCGCATAACATTTTTAGAAAGTAGCTAACAGAAGACGAGAGTCATGGATGCAAGTCGAGTCTGACAATACAAACTTCGTTTCTGATATTCTACAAAGAGGGTTAACTGCGTTAAACTTTCAAGCAAAAGTTGTGAGCCAGGGTTGGGTTACTCTCAGGGTTGTGTTAATCCTCAGGTTGGTTTGGATTAGCATCAGGGTTGGGTTACGCTCAGGGTTAGGGGTACCTTCAGGGTTGGGTTTGGGTACCTCATGGGTTGTGGTTACCTAGGTGTTTGCGTTGAGTACTCGAGGGTTAGGAAGTTATCTCAGCAGGTTGGGTTGGGTTACCTCAGGGTATAGGATTACCTCTAAGGTTGGTGTACTTCATGAGGGATGTTACACCAGAGGTGTTGTTTACCTCAGGGTTGTGTCTACCTCAGGGATGTTTGGGTACCTGCGTGTGCTACTCTCAGGGTTGGGTTACCTCATGGGGTATGTTACTCGGGGTTACCTCAGGGTGGGTTATGGTTTGCTGGAGTTACCTCAGGTTGGGTTACCTCAGGTTTGTGTTACGGGTTACCTCAGGGTTGGGTTTCAGGGTTAGTCTCAGGGTTGGTTACAGATTTGGCTTGGGATTACCTCAGGAGGTGGGTTACCTCTCATGGGGTTTGGGTTGTTACCTCAGGGTTGGGTTACCTCAGGGGTTACCCGGTTTTAGCCTCAGGGGTTAGGTTACCTCAGGGTTGGGTTACCTCAGGTGGGTTACCTCAGGGGTTGGGTTACCTCAGGGTTGGTTACCTCAGGTGTTCTAGGGTTGTAACCTCAGGGTTAGGGTACCTCCAGGTTGGGTTTACCTAGGGTTGTGTTGTTACCTCCTAGTGAGTGTTAGGGTTGACCTCAGGTGTTGGGTTGCGTTTTACCTTCAGGGTTGCGTTACCTCAAGGGTTGGGTGGGTTGAACCTTCGGTGGGTTACTAAGGGTAGTGTTACTCTCAGTTGTTTGGGTTTACCTCAGGTGTTCGGGTTACCCTCAGGGTTGGGTTTGGACCTCAGGTGCAGGTTTGAGGTTTCATCAGGGTTGGGCTCATCGAAGGTTCCCACGGGTTGGGTATACCTCAGGGACGCCTTGGTACCTCAGGGTGGGTTGCTACCTCAAGGGTTTGGCTGGGTTACCTCGGGTTGGGTTACCTCAGGAGTTGGGCTTACCTCAGGGTTTAAGGGTTGGTACCTCAGGGGGTACTCGGCGTTGGTGTTAAGGGGTCTTCAGGGTTAGTACCTCCAGGGTTAGGGTTACCTCAGGGTTGGGTTGAGTATACCTTCAGGTGATTCAGTGTTACTCTCAGGGTTGTTGGGTGTGTGTACCTTACAGCAAGTACAACATTCTACTGTGTCGTTCTAAGGGCGTCGTCCAGTGTGGATCACTCTTCATGTTATGTTGTTTATAATTTTTCTTCATTTTTCAGTAGTCAGAGCAATGATTTTATTTTAATACTTAACCTTAAGCGTGTAGTTGTGGACATGAGACCCAGGGTCAGAGACTGGATCAGATCCTGGGTTTAGATCCTGAGATCAGGTTTCCTCGTAGTGTGAGTTTAAGTCGACGGATTCTGGAATTACTTTAGCAATGTGACCAGCAGGACGGCAGCAGCTCCACAACACCAAGGTCGATTCATCATTACTGATAGTTCATTTACACAGATTAGTAAGTAACAACAGGCACTAGTTTAACGACGCAGAGACTGCGTTGTAATCGTTAACTAGATGACATGAATGCTGTTCAGTGTTTTGTGAGAACCTCTCTCGCACAACACTGGATAACCTGAAGCTTCTCTGATGGAGCAAATAAACAATTTATACTTTTTAATATTTTCTCTTTTGTTTTTCTTCCGCAAGAAATCTGTACATTCATTGTTTGACACTGAAGGAAACAGAAGAAGATCAGGGAAATAAACATGAATGAAATCATTTTCTGAAAATGCTTTATCTTTTTTTTATTGTTGTTGTTTCCGCTCCATGTGTTTGGGAAACTGTGTCGGAAAACCCAAGCTGCTGGAGGAAGGAGAACATGATGTCATCTGGAGAACTCGGTGAGAGGACCTCCCGGTCTGATGTGTCTCTGCCTCGGACTCCTTTGAGCTCCTCCATTCAGGCTTGCCCTCTGACCCTTTGACCTGCAGGACTTTGTTTTGAGTTCGCTGACTTCCTTGTTGTCGGATCTTGTTTATAGACTTTCACATCAGGCTGGAACAGCGGCGGTCGGGTTTTCTCTCGTTGACGAGCTCAGAGGCCAGAGCTTCCAGCCTGAACGTTCAGCCCTCCTTCCTCCACATGCTTTTGACTTCCTTCCATCTTTTCTCTGTAAAGATGTTCCCAGCTCCTCAATGGCGCCTCCCTCTTCTCCTCTTCAGGAACATCTGTGATGATAACCCTTCCTCTTTTCAAGAACACCGGAGCCTCCTGTTATTTCCATCTCTCTGCTCCTTCACTGCTTTGTCTTTCTCGTAGAACTTCACAGAGTCGTCAGAGTCTCCAGGTCTCTCCAGGATGTTCTCCAGGATGTTCTCCAGGATGTTCTCCTGGTGGTTCTCCGTGGTCTCTAGGCTGTTCATATTTCAAGGTTTAAAAACCTTTTTGTCAACAGCATCAGTTTAAATGAGCTGCCTATATATTACACTGTTGGGTGACATCATCAACAATCAAAGGAGTTTCTGCTTTGAATGATGATGTGATGTCAACAGGTTCGATGACGTTCACTATACACATCCAAGAACTTCCTACTAATAAATGGAGGAATCTCTGGATGAAGGTTTGGAGTAAAAATGAAAGGAACCAAACGAAGGAATAGACAGTGAGTTACACTGTATTGGACCTCATGTTTTAAAATGAAGGAGTTTAGTCCTGTCACTACTGGGTGGGGGTTGGGGGGGTGGGGGTGGAGCACTTCAGCCTCTATGGCCTCATGGGTAT